TGGTTCCCAAACTTTTCAGCTTTTGACCCACAAAATAACAGTAGCAGAGACCTGAGCCCACAACTATTTTTGGATAAACATTTGTATCAGATCAACAAAACATAGGCATAGTAAAAATATTTTTTATACTACATTTATCCATTTTAAATACACTAACCTCACTCCTTTGTAACAAATAAGGCAAACGTAATTAATTCAGAAAATCTTTTCAGGACCCCACCTTGATGTTTCGGGACCCCACTTTGGGTCCCAACCCCAACTTTGGGAAATGCTGCATTAATGGATATTAAATCTTCACGTCCAATAAGAACACCTGAGCTGAAAACTGAAGCTAAACCTTTTTCTTTAACTCCTGCACTCCCCTGTCTATCCAGCAGGGGGCAGCACCAACTACAGCCTAAATAATCTGCACGTGAATAAACTTTTTTTTTTGTTATATTTCAGTCTTAGTTTCAGTTAGATCTTAATTCTGAAATACTGGAACACATTCACTGTAAACAAAAAACACTTCAACATATCTGAATGTTTTTCTGTGCTCACTTTACAAAAATAAAAACCCACAAGAATGAATTATRATCACACTTTTTATTGATACATGCTGTTATAAAACAATCCCCACAGACAATAAACAAGTCATCACACATCAGAATGACAGGTGTTTGGATCTGGAACCAGCTGGTGTCAGAAACCAGGTGAGGAATCAATGACTGACAGGTCTGAACAACGAACGCAGCTCCTCAACGATCAATATGACCCATAAATACTTTGTGCCACAAAGTTCAGACTCACCACAAAGACTTTCTTTAGCTTTGAAACCTTTTAAGTTAATATATTTAATAAATACAAAAGTCACACAGTAACAGTTCTAAACAGCAGAGTTCATATCGTCAACATTTAGTTCCAAAGACGAGCCTCCTTTGTGTTTTAAACTTGCCTTTTTTAATTTTCCCTCTCTTAAACTSATGTTTATTTAAAGAAAATAACAAAACAGTCATTGCATAACTTATCCCTTTTTTAGGAGATATAGTGCACTCGTGAAGTTTTTGTCTGAGCCAGAGAGAGAAAACAGCAGAAACATCTAATATTTACACACAGAGCTCTCGTTGAAGCAGAAACGAAGCACAAGAAGTGAGGAACAAAAGAACAGACCCGATCGGACGGCACGGTGAGGGGCGGGGCCTTAACCAGGAGAGAAGGCGGCAGGAGGGGCGGTGATGGCCTTCAGGGACCCGGGTTCGAGCCTGGTCACAGTCCTGCTGTAACAGAACCAGACGGTGAATTTAAAACAGGAAGAATTTCTAACTAAAATACAGACATGGACAAAACTGTTGATGCCCCTCTGGTAATGACCGGAAAGCGCACAATGGTCACCGAAATAACTAGAAACTGATAAAAGTTGTAATAAAYACAACATTTTAAATTTTTTTTTAAAAAGTTCAGTTTTTTTTTTGTTTTTTTTGTAAAACAAATTAATGAAACAGGCCGGAACAAAAATGACATGCAGTTAATTCACACGATCATTTGCGGGTGGCCAATCAGGTGCCAGGGTTGGCCAACCCTCTAGCTCCGCCCCTGATGCCAACTGATCTGGTTCTTGTACCRCTACCACTGATCAGGCTGTCGTCTAACCCACACAACAGGTTATTTCTATGGGATTAGATTAGAGATTTGTTAGTTCAAACAGACCACCGAGTTGAGATTACCCAGGATTAATGCCGGAAATGTGACCTTCTCAGTTCTGCCGGGACAAAAACACAAACTKTTCTGAGGTTCTCTTCCTTGTTAAAACACAAATCATCCAGACGGTCGTCTCACACTTACGCTTTGTCAAAATACGAGGTGTGGAAGGTGGTGTTGGCGTTCAGCACGTTGCTGTTGTCGAGGGCGAACGACTTCCTGGATTTCTGGTCTTTGGCGAAGTTTCTGCAGGCGGCGAGCTTCGACTCCAGAGCCTGAGGAGGAGAAGGAGGAGTTTCTACGAGAAGATGGAGGAGAAACCAGAACAGAGCTACGAGAGGAGGAGGAACTCACCCCGACTTTCTGSAGTAAATCGCTGACGATGTTGAGTGCCGATATTCTGGCGGAGGGAGTCAGAGGGGAGTTGCTGCTGTAGCCGTTAGACAGAACTGTTGGAGGGAAAAACAAGAGTTCAAGATTTAACAGTGTGAATGCTTCGTGCTGAAAGATTTTAGCTGAAAGCTACAGAAAGCTGCTGAAATCAAGCTGAAAGAGTTTAACAGTAAAAACTAAATTTGAACAGCTGACTTTTGCTGAAAGTAGGAAAACAAAAAAAAAATCAGTAGAAAAAAAAAGCAAAAAACGTGAAAAAAATCCGAAGAGCAAAAARGTAGCTAAAATTAGCAAAAAGAAGCTACAATAAATGAAAAGTTAAAGTTAATAGATGGGTTAATGAGTGAAAACTTTCAAATGAGCAAAAAAGAAGAGAAGTACTTGCAATTCTTTTGAAATAGCTAAAAGGCAGAAACTAGTCAAGAAATAGCAAAAAGTAGCTGAAATTAGCACAAAAAAACAAAAAGAGCATGTTTGTTTAATTAACCAGTAAGAAGCTGAAATTAGCACAAAAAAGAGCACGTTTGTTTAATTAACAAGTAAGAGGCTGAAATTAGCACAAAAAGGTGAAATTAGCAAAAAAAAGCTCAAATTAGCTCAAAAGTAACTAAAACACAAATAAAATAGCTAAAATGAGCTGAAATCAGCTAAAAACGCAAAATGAATTAGCAGAAGGAAGCACAAAAAGTAGAAATTAGCAGAAAATATCAGAATGACAGCTTAAAAAGCAGAAAAAAAACTAAATTCAGTGGAATAGAAGTCAATGGAATCTGGAATTAGCACAAAAAAGTAAAGAAAAAAGGTAATTAAGTAATGATGTATGGACATGGATGTTGAAAACAGCTCCATTCATTTTCAAGGAGAAAAATTAAAAATCTCAAAAAGTATAAATTGCTGAAATACCAAAATTCAGAATATCCTGAAGGAGCTGAAATCAATAACTTGTTGAAACAAGATAAAAATTGCAGAATGAGAAACGTCCAGAAGAGAAAATGATCAACAGTTAAAGATGAAGAGCTTCTGATGATGACATAATTGTACACACTTGGTAAAATCAACATTTGTTTATTTTTGGAGTCTAGTGTCGGGTGGAGCTACCTGTCGGGTTGGAGAAGGTGTTGTCCAGACCTTTGCTCAGCGGGGTGGCGGGGAGGGACAGGGACGCCTGCACAGCCGAGTCCATCTTCACGTTGTCCTGTGTGGGCGAGCTGGGAGCGGACATCCTGTTCACGTCCGCCTGTCGCTCGCGCACGGCCAGCTCCTGCCGCAGGTCTGACAGACAAACACAACGCAGTCGATGAGAGACGGTGCCGAAGCTGTGAGCGACAGAGCTGTGAGAAATAGAGCTGTGAGTGAGGGTTCGGTCGACGGTCACCTCTGGCTTCGTCCTTCAGCCTCTGCACCGAGACCAGGAGGGACTCCTTCTCGTCCAGCTCGCTCTCCAGGAAGGCGTTCCTCTCGATGGCCTGGTTCAGACGCTGTTCGAAGTTCTCCAGAGACACGATGGTGGCTCTGAGGAAACGACACTCCGATCATTCACAGCTTCTTCAAAGTTACATTAAATCAGTCGCRTCCAATCCTGGTCCTGGAGGACCATCACCCTGCATGTTTCAGAGGTTTCTAACCAATGACTCAGGTGTGTTTGATCAGAGAAACAAGTCCAGGACCAGGATTAGACGCCCCCACTCTAAATATTTGTCGATTTCTGAATGAGACCTTTTGGCTCTCTCCAGGTCGTCGTTGGACTGCTCCAGCTCTCGGACGTATTTGTGGAGCTGCTCCTTGATGCTGCGTGTTTGGCCCAGGTCGTCCTCCAGCACTGAGATCTGCTTGTAGCTCTGAGAGTACTGCTGCTCCAGTCTCTCCTGCAGGCAGAGGGAGTGACACCAACTTTGATTTTTTTACCCGTTTACTGAAACATATTCAAGTTACAGTTATATAATGTGCATGGACATAAAGTCCAGACTTTCAGCTTTCTTTTGAGGGTATCCACATTAAAACTACATGAAGGGTTTAGGAGTTCATCTCAACATGTGCCACACTGTTTTTAAAAGGGACCAAAAGTAATTGGACAATTGACTCAAATGCTTTTTCATTATGTYAYTCTCAATGAAGTAGATAAAAGGCCTGGAGTTGATTTGAGGTGTGGTGCTTGCATTTGGAAGGTTTTTCTGTGAAGTAAACATGYGGTCAAAGGAGCTCTCCATGCAGGTGAAACAAGACATCCTTAAGTTGCAAAAACAGAAGAAAAAAAATCTAAGAAAATACTACAATATTTGGAGTGGCAAAATCTGCAGTTTGTTTCATCCTGAAACAGAAATAAAGCACTTGTGAACTCATCAATGTAAAAAAAAACCTGGAATCCCACATAAGACAACAGTGGTGGATGATCACAGAATAATCTCCATGGTGAAGAGAAACCCCTTCACAACAGCCAACCAAGTGAACAACACTCTCCAGGAGGTAGGTGTATCAATATCTAAATCTACCATAAAGAGAAGACTGCATGGATGTAAATAGAGAGGGTTCACTGCACGCTGCAAGCCACTTACAAACCTCAAGAACAAAAAGGCTAGATTTAACATTGCTTAAAAACATGTAAAAAAGCCAGCAGAGTTCTGGAAGAACATTGTTTGAACAGATGAAACCAACGTCTACAGCTCATGATCCAAACCACATCATCCGTAAAGCAAGRCGGAGGCAGTGTGTGATGTTTGGACATGCATGGCTGCCTGTACTGGGTCACTAGTGTTTGGTGATGATGTGACACAGGACAGAAGCAGCCGGATGAACTCTGAGGTATTCAGAGACAAACTGCTCAAATGCAGCCAAACTGATTGGTCAGTGTTTCATAACACAGATGGACAACGAGCCAAAACATAAAGCTAAAAGCAACTCAGGAGTTTATTAATGCAAAGAAGTGGAATATTATTGATTCCAGAGTCAGTCACTTGATCTCAACCCAACTGARCATTTCACCTGTCAAAGACTGAAAGGCCCACAAACAAACAGCAAACTGCTGCAGTGAAGGCCTGGCAGAGCATTAAAAAGGAAACAGTATCTGGTGATGTCCATGAGTTCAGAACGTCAGGCAGTCTTTGTCAACAARGGGTTTTCAACCAAGAACTAGACATGAACATTTTATTTACAATTATTTATCCAATTTGAGCATCTGAAAGTAAGGGATTGTGTTTCAAAAATGCTTCAGTTCCTCACATTTCTATGCGATCATTTTGTTCAACCCACTGAATTAAAGATGTGGTAATGCACAGAACCAAAACTAGGAAAATGTTTCTGTCCAAATAGATATGGACCCAACTGTGTTTAACCAGCAGAAGCGGCATCATTCAGCTGCATCTCACACGCAGTGACCTACATCCTGCAGATATCAATCAGCTCAATAAAACCCAGCAGCTTTTCTCTGTCTGACCTGAATCTGCTGATGAATCGGTGTCTGAACTTTCTTTCTGCTCACAGATGAAACCTGCGCAGCAGAGTCTGGAGTCTGCTGCCTGAATGGAAAACTCAAAGCCGTCAGACCGCAGAAAGCTCCTCCCGGCTGAAAACACGTGTTTGGTAATTRTGGAGCGAGAATAAGACGATTAATTATTTATTGAAGCTGTTTGGGTTTTACAGCCGGAGTGGGAGAGAGAAGTGGCTGAGATCAGATTTGAGTGGAAAAATTCAACAAAATTAAGAGAATTTCACATTTATTGTTCCTTTCAACCAAAGAATACCTGTTTGTCACAAAACGAATGGCAGAGWTGTAAAGTAATTAAGTACAAATACTTTGTTACTGTACTTAAGTAGAAATWTTGGTTATCTGTACTTTGAGTAATTATTTTTCAGCGTACTTTTTACYTTTACTCATTACATTTTTACCCAATTATCTGTACTTTCTACTCACTACATTTTTTAAAAAGGTAAGAAGCAGAAAGTCATTACTCCTATTTTATCCTGAGTTGTTATTAATTAAAAAATAATACTATCCTGATAAATTGTGTCTCCTGTATAGAGTGAATTTAACTGTAGTAGATGAGAAGTATAAATATATACCATTCTGACACACTATTAGCTTGTACACAACCCATCACAGCTGCACGCTGTTAGAAAAAATATTTTTT